AACTCAACCCAACACAACCAACCCAACTCAACCCAACCCAACTCAACCCAACTCAACCCAACTCAACCAACACAACCCAACCCAACTCAACCCAACCCAACCCAACTTAACCCAACCCAACTCAACTCAACCAACACAACCCAACCCAACCCAACTCAACCCAACCCAACTCAACCCAACAACTCAACCCAACACAACCAACGCAACTCAACCCAACCCAACCCAACCAACCTAAACCAACTCAACCTAAACTGACACAATCCAACTCAACCCAACCCAACCAACCCAACTCAACTCAATCATACTCAACCCAACCTAAACCAACCCAATCCAAACCAACTCAACCCAACTCAATCCAACCCAATCCAAACCAACTCAACCCAATGAACCCAACCCAACCCAAGCCCAGCAATCCCAGCCCAAGGCGCACCGGCGTGCCGGCAGGCGGCGGCGAAGACGATGATGTCGTCGAAGGCGCCGCTGTAGCCGGGCGGGGGCGGGTGGAAGGCCAGGCTGCCGGAGCGCTCCCGGCGCAGATCCAGCAGGAACGTGGAGTGAACCATGGGCACCGCAAAGCAGCCCCGGCGCTCCCGGCGCCGGATCGGCAGGTAGGCGGGAGTGCGGCGGTAATAGCCCTGGGAACGGGGGAGTGACCGCTGGGAGTGACCACTGGGAACGGGGGAGTGACCACTGAGAGTGACCACTGGGAATGGGGGAGTGACCACTGGGAATGGGGGAGTGACCACTGGGAATGGGGAGTGACCACTGGGAGTGACCACTGGGAGTGACCACTGGGAATGGGGGAGTGACCACTGGGAATGGGGAGTGACCACTGGGAGTGACCACTGGGAATGGGGAGTGACCACTGGGAATGGGGAGTGACCACTGGGAGTGACCTCTGGGAATGGGGAGTGACCACTGGGAATGGGGGAGTGACCACTGGGAATGGGGAGTGACCACTGGGAATGGGGAGTGACCACTGGGAGTGACCACTGGGAATGGGGAGTGACCACTGGGAGTGACCAGTGGGAACGGGGGAGTGACCACTGGGAATGGGGGAGTGACCACTGGGAGTGACCACTGGGAACAGGGGAGTGACCACTGAGAGTGACCATTGGGAACGGGGGAGTGACCACTGGGAGTGACCACTGGGAATGGGGGAGTGACCACTGGGAGTGACCACTGGGAACGGGGGAGTGACCACTGAGAGTGACCATTGGGAACGGGGGAGTGACCACTGAGAGTGACCACTGGGAATGGGGGAGTGACCACTGGGAGTGACCACTGGGAATGGGGGAGTGACCACTGGGAGTGACCACTGGG